CAACAGATCAAGAATGTTTATTTTGTAATTAAACTCCAAGTCTCTAATGAGGGTGGAAAGACCTTTTTTTCCTACCCCCTACAGTTCCAAGAAACTATAATCATAAAACTAAGCTAGTAAATAGGGGACCTATGCTCAAGAGGTGTTGCGTACCTTTTGGACTTGCAACCCAGCAGAGGTGTTGGGTACCTTTTGGTCTAGGGTAGGCATCTGTGGCCTAGGTATCTTCTGGCCCAGAGTCGTTAGTTGCGGGCTTTGAATGAGGTTGTTATTGTGGGCCTTACTGAGCTTTAAGATCCCAAAATTGGCCTTATTCGAGCCAGAATCTTTACCAAAGGATTTGGAGGCTCGTGCATCAAGTGTGATGACAGAGGGATTTGACCTTTTGCTGAAGTAGTTGCCATTGCTGTTCCTTTTTCCTTGTTGGCTGTTCAGGCCAATTTTTTTCCGTGCAACAACTCTGTTGCTTTGACGCCAATTAAGGTTGCTTCTGGTCCCTGTCCACTGTCCCACTGCTACCAGGGTCTGCTTTCCTAGGTTGATCAGGCCTACCTTTGCTAGAACCCATCATTCGTACATCGTTGCTAGGCATCTTAGGCTCCGGGTTGGGTTTCTGTTGGTGACCCCCTTTTCCGACGATGAACCACCATCCATTCCCCGAAAACATCCTCTGCATCCTTTGGCTTAGCGTTTTCCTGAGTCACAGATGGTGTACCAGTGTGCGCACTATGTGAAATCCTCTCAATAGGTTCCTTCTGTACATAGTCTTGTTTCTTGGTTACCTCACATTGATCGTGTTTGTGGCTGTACTTCCCACATGAGAAGCATATCAAGTGCAGTCCTTCGTAGCCAACCGGAAACACCTCATCTCCTATTTTGAAGGAAGGGATGAAGCTTCTATGCAAGTCCACCTCAATACAGATCCTGGCAAACCTAGACTTGTCTATGGTCTCACCTTCCCCTTTGTCATTCCTCTTTATGGATCTCTTATCCACCTTCAACGTCTTCCCCAGTAGATTCCCTAACCTCTAAAGATGATAGGAAGAGTAGAACTCCATTGGTATTCCACAAACCCGAATCCACACGGCTAGTTTTTTCATTGAATCATTGTTGGGGTTGAAGAACGGCCTCCACCGTTGGACCACCAAGTAATGGTCTGAGACAATCCATGGACCTTCATGGAGGACATGATGGTAGTCTCTGTCATCTGAGAACTTCAAAAGGATGTGTCAATTATCTAGGTTAAACTGCTCAAAGGATCCTACAAGGCTCCACATTTTCTGCAGGCGGGCTATAAGGTAACTCGACGCCATCCTCTTTCCAAGAAACTTAACAATGAGGGCTTTCCTCCATTGTTCACAATCCTTCTTATGTTGACTTTTCGAAAAGTGGTAAGATGGGCATAAGGGATCACTCTCACCTGCTGGATATTCTTCCCCATCTTCCTCCTCTTCCTTCCTCTGCCTTTCCATTCAGTCTTCCTCTTCTGAATCATAGTCCATCGATTGGCCATTTAGAGCTAGAACCTTGTCCTTATAAGAAACTAGGTTCCTTCCCTGAATAGGTTTCATGGATACATCTTTTGGGATGGCACTAGCCCCCTCTCTCTAGTAAGGATACACCTTCCGTAGTGGCTTTCTCAGCCATCTCATCGTCCATAGGGCTGTCCTCGTTACGAGATTCCTTTGGCTTCTTTACACTTCTTTCCAGTTGATTTGCTTCATTGACTTCCTCTCCTTTTCCTTGAGAGTAGCCATTATTTCGTTAAGCTACCTTGACTCTTATACTGTTAGTAGTATTCTTCCATTGATAGGTTTTAATTCAGATAACTATTGGTCCTATTGGACTTTAGTGAAAGAGCAAAACCCAACAATTAGATATAAAGAATTGAGAGATCAATTAAATGTACTTTGGAGATTGATTTCTTTGGTTACTGATCTGAACAACTAATTACCTACTAATAGTGAGTTTGGATTAATTAGTTTATATTGTAACTGAAAAAGTTTTATAATTAAAAATCCTTTAGCGATTAACAATTTTTTTCTATATAAAAATCAACCAAAATGAAAAACGTCAGTAATTAAATTTGTTTATACATAATGTCACTAGTTTTTAATTATATTAAATAATGAAAGTAATTTCTAATAAAGAACAAATTATCTCCCTTTTCGATTCTATGCAAGGGCAGAAGAAGAATTCACAACTCAATAAGCCATTACATCTGAAATCACACAACTTTTGATTAACCCAAAATTTCTGATAATTAACTTTGATTTACCCAATTTGTTTTATAATTACTTTTGTAGCACATCAATGGTAGAAAGAAAACAAGTTTACCTTTGACCTAGACACGCATGTATTTTTTTTTTAATATTTAAACTGATTTAATGCAGTTTTATCATCATCAGATTCATATTAGGGGTGGCTTTTTAAATATAATATTGACATTTGATTGTATAAAATGAATTATTTATCACTTGCGCATGTATATATCTTAGGGAAAAAATATCTAATGTTATTTTAGACAACTTTATTTGATGTTCACCGAAACGATATTATTTTAGGATTGAAAAATTTAAAAATTAAAATGATAATGACTATTATAACCCTAAAATAAATTAAAATTGCAAACACATCAATGCATCATGATTTTCGCCCCAAAATAACATTGTTTAGGTGAACATTAGACAAAGTTATTTAAAGTAAATTTAAAAGAAATAACCCTGTATTCTAATAAATAAAAAAAATTCATGTCCTTATACCACGAATTTTGGCCATCGATAATAAATAAATGACCAATATTTATGAATTGCAACTTGGTCAGTGCGTAATATTGTAACTCTTGTAAAATTATATTAAAATCTCCTAAATTATAGTTATATTTTTTTTAACCTTCAAAAATTTAAAATTAAATTTATATATTTTTGTCTTCTCTGTTGTTTTAGTGATGGCCAAGCCATTGTGTCTAGGGACGTGCATGAGTCAGGTCGGGTTAGATTTTTGTGCCGACCCAACTCCATTGGATTTTATAGGTCAAGTATTTTGACTCGACCCAATTTAATTTGATCCAATTCAGGTTTGATCATTTGCCGTAATCCCCGACAACAGCGTCAAAAACTTGTTGCGATTACAACAAGTATACCGATTGTTTCAAGTAATAAAGTAGTGAGAAAGAGTATAACGATTACAACAAGTATACCGATTATTTCAAGTAATAAAGTAGTGAGAAAGAGTATCGTCCCACGAGGATTAAAACACCAAACACTATTATAACTATTTCCTTTAATTTGGACAATCCAATTTGGTTTAGAGAATAAATTTTGAATTAAAATAAAACTAAACAAAACTTAATTGCAATAAAAATTAAGAACACGCAAGAACGCAAATAAAAAATATGATTGAAGAAACTATGATAAATAACTGTAGTTAGGGCACACTTCACCTTTGATCCCCTTATTAATCTAAATTAATTCTTATAATCAATTATTTTAATTATTCAGTAAATTCATATTCTTTAAATTAGTTGGTTAAACTCTAATGTCTTAGTGTATTTAACCCTCTAACCCAAATATAATTCTAATGTCTTAGTAATCCTTCTTGAATTAAGCATTAAGTTCATTGAATTAAGAAGTCTGCAATTCATAAAGTTTATGTCTAGATCGTGCACAAATTGTTATTTTACTCCGGTCAGAATTAAAACTCCAATATATTTATTGTGAGCTCTAACACTCAAAACTCTAACACTCAAAACCCTATGAGAGAGTGATTAGTTCTAATAAGGATATAAAATTTTCATTCAAGGTAAAATAAAATTAATTAAAATAAAAGAATTATAAAAATAATTTAAATATCAAAAGGGTTGACATCACATCCATGACCCTAAGTACAAATGAAAACGAGCTAGACTTAATTGGCTTAAACACCATACAAAAATTAAAAAAAAAAGAAGTCATGAAGAAGAAGAAGAAGAAGAATCAATGTTGCTCAATCTTCTTCAAGCTTCTCTCTCTCTGAAATCTCCAACCTGGTATTCAGTATTCTCTTCCTTCCTCTGATCGTGCTTGCCTCTTTTGTGTTTGCAGGGGTTGCCTCTTTAGAGTGATGAAATCATATCTTGTAATTTCTCATAATATCTTCAATAGAATTTTCACTAGAATTCTCAATCATATCTTTAATCTAATCATTCAAATTTTCCTTTTTATATTTAAAGGAAAACTTTCCTTAAAAATATTTAAAGGAAGATTCAATAAGATTTTCAACGAATAAAAAATCCAAAACAAATCCACTTGAGCTCTCCAATTTATTTTTTTATTGAGTTAAAAATTACTGCAAAATATAAGAATTTTTATAAGAATATTACTGCGTATAAAATAATAATTTAATTATAATTTTCATAACTTTTAATTACTTTTAAATTAATTTCACGCTCATATTAATTTTTAATACATATAAATTAAATACTCGTCAATTCTCCGGAAGCCATATCAAGGCAGCATATAATATTGTCAAAACGTTACACGACAAACAAATTGATCCATTGTCAACTTAGTCAGATTTGGAATGAATTCAAGGTACATCATTGTGATGTAAATAAGTAGGAACACATTAATTCTCAAATCACGCGGCAAGATACCTATCAAAAGAATCCAAGTACCCAACTAGACGAATCACTCAATCCAATATAGAGTTGATTTTTTTTATTTTCATGTAGGTTCGTAAGTGGTGGTCAAATATCCTATTTTAAAGTTATTAAGATTGATTAGTCATGAGAAATTTGAATAATTTACATTTGGTTATGTATTCAATTTCTATTATTATATAAAAAAAATCGATTTTAATAAGAATGGCTCAAAGTCAAATATTGCCATTACCCTTAATGGGCCGAGATCCTATAAATGGTGACCCAAACCCATACGGCCCAACTTGATGAAAAACTGGTAGGTTGTTGGCTCCCTCGCCTTAATGGCGCGTAGGGTAAACGGCAGCTACCATCCTCAATCATCAATTTAGACGGCGAAAGGTCCCAAAAAGTCTCTCCAACCAGAGTTGTTCTACAAAAGGAATTAAATCTCCTCCCATCTTCATTTTGCTTTTCTCAGCCAAATTCCGAAATTTCCCTAACATCTAATTCTGGTATTATGCAAATCTCCACTTTTGTTAATCTTTTCTCTCTCTCTCTCTCTCTCTCTTTGAAATTTGAGTTTATTATTATCATTATTAGTACTCAAATATCTTTCTCTCTCTTTAATTTTACCCGTTTTCTCAAGATTTGGTCGCAGAACGACGTTTTCGTGGATAGTTTTGTTTCTACGACATGGCAGCTGTACCCGATCAAGCCACTAGTATATGCACTCACTGGTAAACACTTCGCTTCCGATTTATGAACGAAGGAATGATCTCAAATTATTTACCTTCGTGTAATTTGGGAATTAGGTTTAGTTATTTACGTTCTCGATTTACTTCCCCGTGAGCTCTAAGCTGAAAATTATGGCTAATTGGTGGGTAGAAGGAATTTAATCTCCTTCTGAATTCTTGATGGCGTTTTCAAGTGATTTGGGTTAGCATAATTAGTTAGACGGTTTTGGGATCGCATTTGACTGGTAGGACCGATCCATGGTGATGAAACCATGCTAATATGCATTTACTAATCTGTTTTCTCCATATATATTGTATGATTCTTGAATTATTAATTTTTGTTTTTTTTTGGGTGATGTTGTTCGTATTGAAGGTCTAAATTATGTGGTTATGCTTTGTCCTGAAGAAACATGATAATGATTTGTCTTATTTTGATGGTTTTAGTGATCGGGCTATCCCTGCTGCAAATATTTATTTGCATTATGCTCATTGCTCACGGAACCTTGAAAAATGCAAAGTATGTGGTGACATGGTTCCAAAACAACATGCTGAGGATCACTATTTAAGCACCCATGCCCCGGTATGGAAAGTTTTGCTATTTTGGCCTTCTTTCATTTTTTATTCCAGAATAAGTTTGAAGAAATTACTGAGAAACCCGTGAAGTTGAAAAGTTCATGTTACTTGCTGATAAAGAAAAACAGAAAAAAATAAATAGAAGAGATTGTGATTTTTTTTTTTGAAGAATTTCTGGGTCTAAAAATGATGTCTTAGCGATGACTAGTTGCTGATTTGGCTCTTATTTGAACCAAAATTGATAAAATGAGTTTGACAATTTTAATTAGGGGTGGAAATTGATCCATCAAACTATCAATCATCCAATCCTTTCATATATAAATCCAATCCAACTCATCCAGTTATAATAATAGTTTAACGCCGTCATCCTTCTAAGCTCCTAAATCCACTGTCTTTCACTAAAGTTTGCCGTATATGAGTCCCTATGATGAAGTTTTATCGTCCTTTTTCATCATGTTTTTCATTTATTCAGTTGTTGTGTGTTTTTCATCAGCTTTGTACATTAAGCTCATGTATATCAATAACTATTCAAATCAATACTTTTAGATTTAACTCTTACAAAATTGGGCAACCTGGTGCTATAAAGTTTGCATTATGTGTGGGTCTATAGGAGGAATCAACCTTTGGGTTACATGGGGACAACAACAACTGTTGTGCCAAGGCCCCCATTTTACTTTGATATTTTGTATGTAGTTGGTAGAGCAGTGTGGGTGAAGCTTTGGCAATCGGAGATATAAGGATTACTTCTTCAAGTGGCTTTATTATGGCTTTCAGTTTTCGTTATTCAGCAAATATGGCTTTAATTTCCAGTAATCATGTATGGAAGGGGAATTTGATGGAAAATTTGTAGTAACACATGTAAATTTCTTGAGCTAGTTCTATTTTTTTATTGTATCATGCATATAATATGAAGGTACCTATTGAATCATAAAGGGGAGAAACTTGGAATATCAACTCACTATATATGCTATGGCTAACATAAACAATGAAAAAGTTGGGGAAGCTGGCCACATGCCCATCTGTTCCATGCCAGGGGCGCCGCCCCAGGCTGCCTAGCGCACTACCTTGAAGTCAGATTTAAAATTCATTTTTTCAACAGTTTCTCAAAAGAAAATGTGAATTTGTGCAGGTTGCCTGTTCATTGTGCAGTGAAACAATGGAGCGTGATATTTTAGATATCCATAAAGGTGAAAATTGCCCTCAAAGAATTGTCACCTGTGAGTTCTGTGAGTTCCCATTACCAGCAATTGATCTGGCTGAGCATCAGGTAGTGTTTATAAAGAACTTTTGAATTAATAAGGTTGTATTAATCTATGTACTTTGGTTCTAATTTCAGTTTGATCTTTATAACTTTCAGGAAGTATGTGGGAATCGAACAGAACTTTGTCACCTTTGTAACAAGTATGTTAGATTACGTGAAAGATACAACCATGAAGACAGATGCAATAGAATCCAAGACAATGCTATGGGGTCTTCAAGGTAAGCAATGTCATCATTTAATTATAGTGCATCATATTGTGTGTTTGGATTAGTTTATTTTGTGCTTATAATCAAAAGCTCCTCGAGAGAGCTTTGGGAAAAAGAAGCAATTATTTTTCCCAAAATAATCAAAACTAAACATGCCTATGGTCTTGTCCAAAAATTAATTCTTAGTGCAGCTTGTAGTCTTTCTGAGGGCTAAGTGATTGTTGTATACTGTATATCCTAAGGGCCCGTTTGGAGATTAGGATAAAGAGGACAATATAGGATTAACTATCATATCCTGCTCTTATCTATTGTTTGGTGAGCCAACATAATATGATAAGCTTATATTGTTAGCTCATTTTATCCTGTCCGCATCAAGATAAGCCATTCTAAGGGAGGACTCGGGTTAGGGATGGACAGGATAAAATAGTAAATATCACATCCCTCTCATCCCAAATGTAGACTTATGCTCTTTTCCTACGAACTTTGTTGGGCACGGACAGGTTAGCCCTTGCCACTGGCCATCCACCATTGCTACTGTCGATGTCCATCATCCATTTCTACCACCAACATCGCCACCGGCCATCACTGAGTTACATCCACTATCACCATCATCGGCTACTGCCACCCCCAACCACCAATAGTCACCACTACCACCACCATCGATTAGCCCCCACAATTGCCACTAGTCACTTCCGGCGCGGTCACCACCACCATTTCCACCGGCCACCCCCTTGCCGCCGCCACCGCCACCGCCACCGCCATTGGCCACCCTACAACCCATTAAAAAAACATAAGGTTTTTTAGTCGAGGCTTAATGTAAAATAATTACAATATGCGAACAAATCCTTTTACCTGTTTTAAAAAGTTGGGGATTCGAGCTAAACAAAGGTGGAATGTGCGGATGCTTCGTTCGTGAATTTTCATTTCCCAAGTTGTACCCAGTTCCCTATTAATAGGATGAACATCTATAGCTGCTGCAGTAAATTTTATATTTTAGATGAGTGCCGAGGTATACTTTTTTGAGGGAGAGTAGCAAAGAACTGTCATTTAAGAGTGATGTCAGACTGTTTTGACAGGCACTGTCCACATTCCCGAAGGAAAAAAAAGTGAACATCTGCGATTATTAGGATGTAGATGATTGTGAGATTCTGAGCATATATTAACCGAAAATAGATAAAATAAAATTTTACATACTGTTTATTATTAATGGCCACATACATGCTCCACAAACTTATGACTAATGAATTATCATCTGCTTAATATCTCACCAGCCTTTTGAAATTGGTTTTATTGTTTAAGTAAACAAGTCAAGTTTTGCTTGTGATGTAGTTGAATTTCTTGTGTTAGAATTATGATATTAACCCCTGAATATAGTTACTCTCGTGTAGTATGCATTTGATGTAATAACTTACACAGCAACAACCAACCCTTATTTTTGTTGTTGTTGACTAAACTACTATTTTAATCCTCCAAAGATATTCCTGACATCAATTTGGTCACCTAAAGATTTGTAATATCAAATTAATCCTCTAAAGATTATGAGTCAACGTCAACAATGCCTTCATCCCGCACTAATTGGGGTTTGCGGCGAATGAACCTAAATGAAAAGATTGAGCCTCTAAAGATTTTGAGTGAGATTAAAAAATGGTTCTTCTATCAAGCACAATCTGGCATCGATTTGAACCATTTTGACGTTACTTGAAATCTTTGCTGGACTAATTTAATTTCATAATTCTTTGGAAAACTAAATTGATGATAAGTATATCTTTAAAAAACTAAAATGGTAATTTAGTCTTTTAAGCTAAGCTATTAGGTAAAGGTCACGTTAATAATCTCATTATATTTCTCTAACATCTCTCTTCATATAAGAGCTTATTGGGTTTGAAATATGGATAATGCATAAGCTTACTTATTTGTGTTAAAAAATTTCATAATATTTTAATTATTTATTAATAAAATGGAGATTGTGAGAATCGAATTTATGATCACTTGATCACAAAGGATTTGATTATTGCAATCAAAAACTTAAAGTTATTAGGTGAAGATCACATTAATAATTTTATATTATATTTTTCTAATAATTTTTATAATATTTATTGGTTTTTTTTATAAATGTGCATTTAGCCTAGTAGGTCATTGATAAATGGCGTTTGTCTTTTCCTTGTAATTGAACTATTTACTTCACATTTTTGTCTGAAGGGACGTCAGACCAGCTGAAAGAGATGACGGTGCTCGAAGAAGGCAGCCGAATGAATTCTCAAGAAAACGTCTTCTTTTCACAATAGCAATCACTGGTATAGCTGTTATACTCGGATCTATTTTTTTCCAGAGAAAGGCAGAGCCCAGTGATGTGCATTAGTTGGAGAGGCTACTTGATGGTGTAAATCCGCTTTATATGTATAATTCATTCGCAGGCTGCAGAAGTCGTATGAGATATACTTTGCTACTGCATTAACTAAAACACATCGGCATTGTCGCTGTCACTATATGTTGGGTAGTTATGTACTTTCTTAAAAAATATTGTAGTTCTGTGTTTGACGGAGATAACTACCAAGTACCAAGGATAAATCTGAGCCATTTTTCATAAAGATTGCTATTCCTTGTTGATCTTCCTAGTATTATCTAGTCGAAGAAGGAACTGCATCTCTTTACATTAATTCAATACCATTTTAGGAGACAACTTTTTTTCATTTCATGTAGGTGTTTAATAGGTAAATAACATTCTACAGGTATTTAACATTTTGAAGTTCATTTTATTTAAATGAAAATTTTTAACAACTAAAACAATACAGATAGTATTATTTAGAGGTTAAATTGCATATATATATATTTTTTTTTGGTAAGCTGGTTAAATTGCATATTTAATTTATATTTTAATATGAGATAAGCCAGTCACATGTTATATTACTTTTTCTATTTGAGATAGAAGAATTCAAATTTATTTGTGTTTATGCCAAAAGAAATTTCTTAAATTCACATAGATTAATTTCAATTTAAGAGAACATTTTTGGTACAACTATTGTACGCCCTACCTCTATCTAACCCAAAAACAAATATTTTTTGGGGCTCAAATAAAAATATAAATAAATACCTGGATTTAAATAGGAAGGTATTTTTAAAAAAAAAGTAAATAAAAATACCGAACTCGGTACTTACCGAAGAATTTTCAATTTCAACCCTTTTAAAGCACCGATTGAAAATTCTCTATTGTGCTTAACTCATTCACTTGGAAATTTTAATTATAAGTTTTGCGTAGTCAATTTTCATTTCCCATTCACCTTCCTATTCCCGCTCTCCTCCTTCGCTTTTAAGTTGGGGGATTTGTCTCCGGAACAAGAAGAAAGAGATAACCACAATTACACGGCAACGCCATCGCTATTGCCTATTAGTAAGCCTATTTCCTCACTCTCAGGTGTGTGACACGTGTCCATATTGATCCCTCCGTTTTCATCGTCGCCCCCTGATAATAACACGACTCCCTCGGTATCCCCATCATTCCTCGTCCATCGATAGTAATTCATGAAAGACGTTGATTTCTCAGCGCAATTATTTTTATTTGAAATATCTCTCAGAGTAGCTCCTCGCAACCAGGTGTATAATTTTTTATTTTTTTTTTATAACATCCAGGTGTATAATTTAGTAGTTGGTTGTTAAATCACCCTATTTCATCACTTTCGAATGAATTAAATGGTGATTTCACCTATTTGATTTGTGTGTGTGACGAGGAGGTTACACGTTTTTGTTGGCACAGAAAGAAAACTAAGGTTTCTGAAATGTACAGACATAATTAGAAGTTCAAGCATTAAAATCTGTTGATACTGTTTTTACATTTCATTGACAAGCGAAGTGATTGAAATTGATATGATCCATTCTGTTTCTTTATGCAATTCCATTTCTTTTAAACTTTGTGGGAATTCTTAACCCTGACTGAGATTCCTTGCGTTATCTGTAAGTTAGTAAAAAGAAAAGCAAAGTGTTCACCATGTCCGCCCCAGGGGTACGGTTGCACATCCAAGACCACCATGTAAGTTTACTCGGTGCATTTTTCTCTCCTTGTTCTTGTAATGTTCTTCTTCATTATACTATCTTCAGTATCTTGATTATATGCAACGTACCTAGATCTCATCATCATCTAAGTTTCTTTTTCCTTGTACCTTTAAGTTTGAGTATTGGATAGACACTACTGAAAATTTTATTTCATTATATAAAACCTTGAACAAAACGAATATCTTGTTTGTTTAAAATTTTGTCGGTTATGTTTGTTTCATGTACTTATTTTTACTGCTTGGCATGTGCAGGTGGTGATGGATAATGGCATACTCCAAGTTACGTTATCAAATCCAGATGGAATTGTCACTGGGATACGATATAATGGTGTTGACAATTTGCTTGAAGTTCTCAACAAGGAGACTAATAGAGGGTGTGTGATCATAGCGATGCATCATTGCCATTTCTCATTCTCTCTCTCTCTCGCTCTCTCGCTCTCTCTCTCTTTCTCACACACACACACATACACACACAAATCTATCTTGTTCTGGTATGAACTGAATAGAGTAGCCAGTCTCTTGAAAATGTAATGCTTAAATGAACTGGGCAGTAATCAAGAACTCAAGCTGATAGGTAGTCATTAATTGGCATTTCTTTTGTCAGGACTCAAAAGCAAAAGTAAACACTAAACATGGTGAATTTGGTTGACAAATCAAATTTGATTTGCCTTGTGGAGAACAGTGTGTTCTATATCTTTATCATTAAGAAAGAAAAATATATTTTCTTATTGATTGTGAGGAAATCAAAGGGAGCTCTCAAGCTGGAAGCTGATTTTGTCTTTCCATTGAATGTTTAGGTACTGGGACCTTGTTTGGAGTGCACCAGGAAGCAAAGGAATCTTTGATGTGTATGGCAATGCTACTTTCTTTTGTAATTGCATGGAGTTTTTCATATTATTCCACCGAGTTAAATTTTCAATTAAGATATATTTAAATGCATCCACCAATTAGAGTTCACAAATAATTTGGGAGAGGTTTTTATGTCACACCTGAGCAGTGTCAAACCCCTTTATTTTGCTAACTGTTCTATTGGCAATCTTATCAGTTCCATTATTGCTCTAAGGATAATATTTTAAGCATATGTTTTTATGGTCCAGGATTAAAGGAACGTGTTTTAAAGTTATAGTTCAAAATGAGGAGCAGGTGGAGCTTTCGTTCATGAGAATGTGGGATCCTTCTCTTGAGGGAAAGTTTGTCCCCTTAAATATTGACAAAAGGTACGTGCTCAAATTTTTTGTATCATTACCCTTTTCAAACGGTAGCAGCTGAAGGATTAACATTTGTCGGTAATCAATTTCAGATTTGTAATGCTCCGTGGTTCATCGGGCTTCTACTCTTATGGAATTTATGAACACTTAAATGGATGGCCAGATTTTGATCTAAGTGAAACAAGGATCACTTTCAAGCTTAGAAAAGACAAGTAAATTAACTGATTGTTTTTATATATATATATATATATATATATATATATATATATATATATATATATATATATATATAATTTTCTCTATCATTTCACCTAATAGTTTGATGCCTCTCATTGTATTTCTCAGTCTTGTTGTGCTTGTTTGCTGTATTTTGTATATTTAACAAGACTTTGTAAAGATTTTATTGGTGAAAATGGTAACTGCTAAATAATTTTGCAATTCCAAATATCATTTTATTTTACAAATCTAGGGATGAAAGTAACACAAGCATTCTCTTTCTAGACCTTTGGTAATGTGACATTCAAAACACTAGTGGAGATGGTCATAGCAGACAACTGGAAGTCCTTTTTTGTTTTTGGATATTTATCCAATTTAACAATCAAGTATATAGGTTTCATTACATGGCTATGGCAGACAATAGGCGAAGGATTATGCCTTTTCCGGATGACCGGTTACCAGGAAGATGCCAAACCTTGGGCTACCCAGAAGCTGTCCTACTAGTCAATCCCAAGGATCCACAATTGAAAGGAGAGGTACTTGTTGAAAATATTTCCTCTGATGCAACTTTCTTCTTGTCCAAGCTTCTATTTGTAAGTTACCCCTGTAGTCTATATTAGGTCTTATATACATGTAGGCATGCTTGATTTTATATTTGAAACCGATGTTTGAAGCAAAGATTTAATTCTACAATGTTGAACATCGTCTGGGTGGTTTTAGGTTGTTTGGATAATTGAAGCCAAAATGTCTGTTAGTACTTCGAACAGCTTGAACGTCAGTTCAGCACCAAATTCATTCCCACGCATATGGCTTATTATTTTACAATTTGTTCCTACTTGCATCATTAAATACTATTTTAAAATATGGTTTAAATTTAATTTGCCCCACGTAGCTTGGGGAGTATCACTTTGCCACCATGTGGTTTCAACTTTATCACTGCCCCTTTGTGCTTTTATTAACACTTTTGTTATCTTCTTTTGTCTTTTTTGGCTATATCAACTAAAAAAATGCTTTTTCATGTTATAATGATATATAATCCACTAAATTACCAGGTTTACGCATCCAGACATGTCTGTTAATTTAACGACTTTTTGTTTAAGGTTCCTAACTTTTAACAAGGAGATCATTGTTTTTAGGAGAATAAATGAATCGTTAATTGATATTTTTTAACTTTCATTAGTTAAAGTTATGATGTTGTTGTTTTAAGTTAATAGAATGAAACCACAGAGGGACAAGATGCAACTGAAACTAACCACGGGGGAAAACTAAATTTAACCCTCTAAAATATTTCTTCTATATCTTTTTAGTAATTTGATACAGTAAAACAATTTTACCTCACACTATCCAAACAAAACACATTCTTATAAAATATTTAGGCAAATATTTCCATATTCCAATTATGAAACTCATTCTTCCAAAATTAATTCTTTTGAAATTAATTGTTCTAAACTACATCTTATTTAAAAACAATTATTCAAAATCCAAACACACATATAGTAGTTGGTTGATCTGGCAAGTTTTGAATGTCCACTAAGATAATTTTTCTTGTTGCAAGTTGAAGAGGAGATAGAGATGATTTCCTTTCCATAGACTGAGTGTGTATGAAATATTCGTTGTGTTTATTTGATTCTGATTCACAGGTGGATGACAAGTATCAGTATTCATGTGAAAACATAGATAATAAAGTCCATGGCTGGATATCTTTCAGTCCACCAGTGGGATTTTGGCAGATCACACCTAGTGATGAGTTTCGTTCTGGTGGACCCCTCAAACAGAATTTGACCTCTCATGTAGGCCCCACCACGCTTGCAGTAAGTGAATGAATTTAGACCTTGATGACAGTTTCCCCGCATGGCGATTATACTTTCTGTGTTACCACAAGTTGAGATATTTCTACCTGATTATTATCTCTTATAACATTATGCATTTATTAAATTGGCATCGTCAGATGTTTCTTAGTGGTCACTATGCGGGACAAGACTTGGTACCCAAATTTAGAGGTGGTGAACCATGGAAGAAGGTTTTTGGTCCTGTATATATTTATCTTAATTCTGGATCAATTGGTGATGACCCACTTTGGCTATGGGAGGATGCAAAAATACAGGTTTGTCCATATATCTCTTGTACTTTTGTTCTTAGGATGTAGATAGTATATGGTAAAGTTGGATGCAGAAGTTGTAAGATAAAGACTGATTTGAATTGATATTCAGATGACGACTGAAGTTCAAAGTTGGCCATATATTTTCCCAGCTTCAGAGGATTATTTAAAATCATATCAACGGGGCAACGTTAGTGGCAGATTACTTGTCTTAGACAGGTAAGAATGCAAGATATTCCTAGTTTGTTCTTGAGGTTTTTATTTTGCATTATTGGATGCGTATCTTATTGTTATACTGGTGCTTGGAATACAAGCATAGTTTTTCTAATTCTATAGCAATTCTCCAAGTTTAGTGATAGCTGCTAGGATTTTATTTTTCAGGGTTTCATAAATGCTACGTTTTATTTATTGACACTGTTTTTGTTATGTTTGTAATATGCAAAAAAAGGTTCTCGATTACTTTTTTAATGGTGAGAATTACCTTTGAAAAAAATTGAATAATGAATCAATTGCTGAGCAGCAGCAAGAATGTGGTTGTTCTTTTTTCTTAGATTGGTGAATTTGAGTGATTTATTCTAATTATTATGTCTAGGTACATCAGCACTGACTTAATATCAGCAAATGCTGCTTATGTTGGTCTGGCCCCACCAGGAGATGCAGGGTCATGGCAAAGAGAATGCAAGGTGTTCTTCCTTCACTTATTTAAACCTAGTATTTTAGTTGCATGAACTGTACTTTTGTATTTTGTGCTAAACTGTCTTTTTTTAATATAATTTGGGGTGGGGATGGGGCTATTAAACTTTTTTCACTATTCTCTGATAATATTTTCCTTACTTTTTCTTTTTTCATGAACTAACTATCTCAAAAGCTTAAGTTGTTAGGTGAAGACATATGAATGATTTTATATTAACATTTTTAACATACCCCTCACGCAAGAGTCCTATGAGCTAGTTATGTTGAAATTCAACTTTTTATTAGAAGAATGGGGGTAAAGAATCAAACTCCAAATCACTTTGTCATATATGCTTGAATACCATGTCATGAATCAACTATGCCAAAAGCTGCAGTTGTTGTCACTTGAAGGACATCTGAATGATTTTATTATATTAACATCTCTAATAACCTTTCAACAAGAGTTGCTCTATATTAAGGGATAAGTTGAAGTTAGCAACTATTCCTTACAGTCTCTCTTCGAAAATATGGTAAAATATTTTGATTTAGCAGTTGAAAACAGCTAATAGTTGAAGGCTTGAAGCTAACATTGTACTTATCTCACTGTTTGACAGATCAAGGTGATCTTGCAAACTATGTGAGACTTAACCTTGTCTCCCCATTCTTTTGGAAAAACAAAAAATTATGTGAATCAAGATCTCTAGAATGCTATTGTGGGTGCCTAAAAAAACTCTTTTCCAGAAGATTATTTAACTTTTACTCCTGCCAGGACTATCAATTCTGGGCCAGAGCAGATGAGAATGGATTTTTTACAATTAGCAATATACGTACAGGCGACTATAACCTTTTTGCTTGGGTACCTGGCTTTGTTGGGGACTTCAGATTTGATGATTTGATGAAAATAACCCCAGGTTCCTTAGCTTGGTCAAAGTTGATATCATTCGCCATCTTGCAAAAAAAATCTATGCTGACTAAACTTGCAATGCAGGTTCTAATATTGAATTGGGTGACCTTGTATATGAGCCTCCAAGGGATGGTCCCACATTGTGGGAAATAGGTATTCCTGATAGATCCGCCGCAGAATTTTATGTTCCTGATCCCAATCCACAATATATTAATAAGCTTTTCATCAACCATCCTGACAGGTTAGTTTTGTGATCATTCTATCAACTTCTGTTTTCTGTTTGTCCTTATATTGCTAAAAAGGATTTTAATTAATTTGGAATCTATGCTACATATTTTAACATGAAAATACTGAAACCATCATCCAACTGTGCTTTTTTTCTTCTGACATGTGATGAAATGGTTTCCTTGAGATGTCAGTTGATCTGTTCTTAGGTCTTCCTTTTTCTTCTCAACTTGTAGATTCAGGCAGTATGGATTGTGGGACAGGTATACAGAATTGTATCCTGATGCAGATTTGATTTACACAATTGGTGTCAGTGACTATACGAAGGATTGGTTTTTTGCTCAGGCTCCCAGGTCTGATTTTTAGAATATTATACGTTACATATTCTGTAGTCTGTACTAACTTTTCAAGCTTGTATAACTTCAGAAAAAAAGAGGATAACACTCATCAAGGAACAACTTGGCAAATCAAGTTTGAAGTCAGTAGTGTGGTTCGGGAAAGTACATATAAACTGAGAGTTGCACTTGCATCTGCAACATTAGCTGAATTGCAGGCAAATTCCCTTGCCTTTTTTCTCTATCACACACATAGGGCCTCGTTGGATGTAACATGTCAGTACTTTACCTTTTAAAATTTTGTGCTGACCTGTGTGCATATTGTCTGTGAAGATTCGAATAAATGATCCCAATGCAAGGCGTCCCCTATTTACCACTGGATTAATAGGAAGGGACAACTCAATTGCAAGACATGGAATTCATGGACTCTATTGGCTGTACAATGTGAATATACCAGGTTCTTTTCTTATAGAGGGCACGAATACTATATATTTTACGCAACCAAGATGCACCAGTCCCTTCCAGGGTATCATGTATGATTATATTCGTTTGGAAGGCCCACCCTGTTTCAAAGAAGATATTTAAGTTATCGTTGGGAAATAAATTATCCAAATAGTAGTACATTTTCAACATACTGGAATGTATTTGTTTGTGAGCATTGTATACGCCTTATTATCTTTTCATTTTCATTTTTTTCTGTAATTTATTGCTGTTTTGTTTTGTGGTGTGTTTTTGGATATGTACAAACGTTCTGTAATACCTTTACACATGATAAATTCATATTTATGTTTGTTTAGGTTAGACTAATTCATCCACCAACATTCATGAAACAGGCAGATTGAACATTGTTTTTGTACACTCCATTTTTTGAATTTTGAATAATGTGGGATTCCACCATGGGATCTGGACCTCAGCAGGGAAAATTTGAAGTGAAAAATAAAATAAAAAATGACGCAATAAAGCTCGTTCAGAAGCTAGGTAAGTAAGCTAACGATATAACAACTACCGGTTGTATTTGACTTTTGAGTAGTATGTACAGAGGCTCGTTGACCTCCGTTGATGTGAGTCGTTCACCATCTCAACCCAATCAAGCCAATTGAAATGGCGAGTACCGCGTGTGCAGCTTCGTTTATACGACCTTACATAGGAAACAACTTTTGCATGTTTGAAGAACAATTTCATGTCCTAATTAATAGAATTAGTCAGATAAATGATGATCAAATATAAAAGCTGCTTAATAATATTGTAATCTTCCTTCTGGACGTGTTTAGATCCCTTGTATTTGAATAAAAAGTCAACTCTAATAGTGTTTGAATTGATTTATAAATTTATTTTTCATGTTTAATTCAAAGGGGGAAGATATACTTATCACAAATTAAGTTTATTATTTTTTATCACCAAATTTTAACAGTTGATTTTCATTATTATCACGATTATAATTTATTGAAAATTAATAATTAATTAATAAGTATTATTTAATAAATTAATAAGTTAATTTTTGTCATTATGACTGTTATAATTTATTAAAAATTAATAATTAATTAATAAATATCATTCAAATTAATAAGTGTCAATGATTAAATTAATATTTAATGATAAGAAGTGATAAACTTAATTGATGATAATTGATAAGCTTTGAGCGAAATGCGGCAAAAGGAAAAAAATCCAGGCGAATTGAAAGCAGTGGTAATTCTTCCTCGAAAAGTTAAGGATTCGTAATCTTTTTTGAATTCTATTTCGGTTCTATTAGTATTAGATTAGTATTAGTTACTCATCTCTGTTCGTTCCCTACTTCAAATAAGATAAAATTTGGATTAAGTTTTATTATAAAATTGCGTGGCAAAGCGATGGAGGTTGCGGTTCAAAGCTTCCAATCAGCTAATAAGAAAAGAAAGAACCAAAACAAGGACTAATTTCAATATTTGTATCATTCGATAACGTGATTGACTGCTTCTTCACTCCCACGCCTTTATCTATTACACCGTATACACCAAACAACTGTGGCGACTAAGTAAAGAGATATAAAGAATGCTTTCTCTCTAGTTCAAGGAAACTAAATCAATTCATTTAAGTCCCAGACTACACAATTTCTGTTGGCAGATTGCTGAGTAGTAGGACGTGTTTTTTTTTTTTTTTTTCAAACGTTGTGCTGAAAACCAGCCATTGATAATAAAGGCCACTCTTTCTTCGTATTATAAGAAAAATTTTCAGTTTTTCTTAAACTGCTCTGAATCTGTGAGACTTTCATTGCGTACTTCTCTGGTTCACTGCAAGTACCACCATGCCGCCACAGGGGGTGCAACTGAGTATTCAAGATCATCATGTATTTAAAATGTTATCTAGAAACATCTTAATAATTTTTCTTAGTAATCTGAAGTAGATGTTGTTAATTATATGAAATTCTTGTTCAGATATGAGTCTTCGCTATGGGTTGAAAAAAATCAGGAGTTTAGATTCATTCATGTTCCAAGTAAAAATTCATGTGCAGGTTGTGATGGACAATGGCATACTAAGAGTCACCTTATCAAACCCTGAGGGAATTGTCACTGGAATACAGTATAATAACATTAACAACTTGCTTGAAGTTTTGAATGAAGAATCTAATAGAGGGTATACTTTACAAAGTCGTATTTATTTTTACAAACTAGGGAACTTGGTTTGGTTCTCCTACAACTAATTATACGTTTGCAACTTCATGTAGGTATTGGGACCTTGTTTGGAGCTCGCCAGCAAGTACAGGAACCACTGGTGGATTTGATGTGTATGTCTATCGTCTTTTCTTTCCTTTTGTTTTATATGCATGACAAATTTTGAGCTTAAGATTCCACCCTATCTGCTTCAGCTATACCGTAAGTGGCTGTGTGTCCTACTTATATTTTCACATATACTCCTTTTTGCATATTTGAATTTTCATTTTTTTTTTCTTTCCACTATATATAACCATGTTTCTTCAAAAAAGTCACATGTAGTTCATGTTTACCTGCTTCTAAAAACTCGACATAGTACCTATATATATATATATATATAGATACATGAAGCAAAGCAGATTATTAAAATGTGATACGTGACTGCAGGATAAAAGGAACCACTTTCAAAGTTATGGTTGAAACTGAGGACCAAGTTGAGTTATCCTTCACCAGGACGTGGGACACTTCCCTTGAGGGCAAGCTGGTTCCTTTAAATATTGATAAAAGGTCATTAAGTGACACCAACCACTCACTACTAGAAAAAACTTGTATAACGACGAAATTGCTATGGAAATTCTGTCGCTAATTTCATTCTCGGTTACTACTTTTACTCGCAAAATCATTTGTGAGCACATTGCAAAGATGGGGTATACTAAAATGAAAAAAAATCTAACTATTATATGTGTTGAGTATAGGTTCATAATGCTTCGTGATTCTTCCGGCTTCTACTCCTATGCAATTTATGAGCACTTGGAGGATTGGCCTGCTTTCAATCTTGACGAAACAAGAATCGCTTTCAAGCTTAGAAAAGAAAAGTATGCAGAGTAGGCTTAACATTTTATTATATGTTTGCCTCCTTTTTTATGCTTCTAGTTAACGTGGTTAATCGAACTAATTATTGGGTGGTTTGGGCAGGTTCCATTATATGGCGATGGCAGATAATAGACAAAGAAACATGCCTCTTCCGGATGACCGATTACCACCAAGAGGCCAAGCCCTTGCTTACCCAGAAGCAGTTCTACTTGTCAATCCTATCGAACCTGAACTTAAAGGAGAGGTACATTCACGTTTATATGCAAGTGATTGCTCACACAATTCTGAGTTTGAGGTTGTAGTTAACTAAAGCTTTTTCCAAAGTGACAAACTGACAACTCTAAAACTTTAACCTCCGACATTGCAATTAAAATTTGTTTAGAATCAAAAATCTATATATTTCTACTACGACCTGCTAATGTTGGGTAAACATCGATTTTTTAAATGTATAAAAAAAATTATTAAATATCATCGAAGGTTCGGTGCCCTTAAATTTTAAGTATCAAATTCAACAAATTAGTTTTTATTGTCTCATTTTACGTGAGATAACTATATCTCATGCTACTCTCACATAAAAAGTTGTGCCACCACTTTTTTCTTTTTCCTTTTTTTAATAGGTGGTGTGTTCCACCACATCATGTGTCTATGGTAGGAGATACTTATCTCCAATAACATAAGAGAAATAAAACCCTTTATATATAATGATTATTACACAAAAATGTGCTATAATGCGATTCAATATATTTAAATTTAGATATCGGAAATTTGAATTTTTTTGGATACTAAAATCAGAGGTGTCAAAGTGGACGATCTGCCCCGCTTTTGAAATTGGGCTAAAAAACTCTATCTGTCCTGTCCTGTTTGGTAGATTTGCTCGCCAACCGGAACCTATTTTACATTGACCAGCCTCGGCCCGCCATCAACCAGCCAAAAAATTAGCCCATCCCATCTCATTTAGTTGGTGGGGCGGATTGGCCCATCGAGCTGAGCCCCTCTTGCCGCTTTAACTAAAGTCTATGGGGACTTGAGAGACTTTCACTACTAAGATTAGTATTTAAGACATCCTTACTAAAGAGCCAAGAACGAGGAGAGAAAAGGAAAAATGAAATAAATATCCTGATAAAAAAATGAATTAGCCTCATGCACCGGATAAAAAAATGAGTTATCCTGATAAATAATGCTCATAGTAAGATTATTTAACTTCATGATGTTGTTATTGTGTAGGTGGATGACAAGTACCAATATTCATGCGACAACAAAGATAGCCAAGTTCACGGATGGATCTGCATGGATCCGGCAGTGGGATTCTGGCTAATTACACCTACCAATGAGTTTCGATCTGGTGGACCCGTCAAACAAAACTTAACTTCCCACGTGGGACCTACCACGCTTGCTGTAAGTGTTTAATCATTTCAAGTAATACCAACAACAAAAAAATGTTCAAAAAATATTATGAAATTGTTTTCATCAACGTGTAATTGAAGATAACTACACAGAAAGGCCAAATTTTAAAGACAACTATCAGAGTCCTTTCTTTATAATTATAAACCGAAGTTCATTTTATTGACAATAGGACACGATAGTTACTTAAATTGCAAATACACTAGTGCGTGTTATGATTTGGCTCTGATTTTAGAATCGTTGGTCCAATATAACGTGATCAGGTGTTTCTCAGTGCTCATTATAGCGGAGAGGATCTGGTGCCTAAGTTCAAAGCTGGAGAGGCATGGAAGAAAGTTTTTGGTCCAGTTTTCATCTATTTGAATTCTCCGTATGATGGAAGTGACCCTGACCCCCTTAAGCTATGGGAAGACGCTAAACTGCAGGTTTAATATTACTTTATCTGTCTACATGTCTATTATGTTGCTATATTTTCTAACATACATAGCTTAAGTAGTGACACAAGCACATACCAAACCAAACTTACAGATGTTGGTGGAAGTTCAAAGCTGGCCTTACAGTTTTCCTGAGTCAGAGGATTTCCCAAAGTGGGACAAACGTGGTCATGTTAGTGGCACGCTATTGGTTAGAGAGAGGTGTGTTTCTTATAAAATGTATTTAGACTAATGATAGTTATATACTTATCTGTACTCACATATTTCTTATATATTTTTCTAGTTGTTTGATATTATTTTAGGTCAGTATAATTTTTTTTACAATATAAATTTTGAAAATCATTTAAGAAGGTATAATCACCTAAACCTGCTCTCAAATTGACTGAGCTAAGTGAAGAATTGAAGTAATGTAAGTGTAATGCGAAAAGATTTTCTTCTATAATAGTAGTTTTGAGCTCATTGAAAGCAAATGTAGTTTGTTTTTAATTAATTCCATTTTGTGACATAAAATATATAGGCATATAAGCGGTGATTCTATATCAGCGAAAGGTGCTTATGTTGGCTTAGCTCCACCAGGAGACGTGGGATCTTGGCAAAGAGAATGCAAGGTGACTTAGAAAAATATGGTCTAGTCTTGGGTGTAAACTTTCTTAGTATGCTCATTTTCACTACTATGTACCAATATACCATTTTATGAACTTATTCGCCTACAAAAACTCCACTAGATAACGTATATATTACAATTTAATTGTCATCAGAATTATCAGTTCTGGGCTAAATCAGGCGATGATGGCTATTTCTCCATCAGCAATATACGTGCTGGCGACTATAATGTTTATGCATGGGTACCTGGTTTTATTGGTGACTATAAATATGATGTAGTTTTGAGCATAACAGAAGGTATTCATCAACCAATTTTGCTAATTTTCTTTTTAAACTATACAGACAGTTTTTGTGTTAACTATTTTTGTATTTGATTTATGTGAAAATAGGTAGTGACATTGACATTGGTAATCTTGTATTTGAACCTCCAAGAGATGGTCCAACATTGTGGGAAATAGGCATCCCTGATCGCTCAGCTGCTGAATTCTATGTTCCTGATCCAAATCCCAAATATATCAACAAACTCTATATTAATCATCCTGACAAGTTAGTTATTTCAACTTAAACTTTCAGTATGATTAAAAATTCAATCTAGAAATATTTAGAAATTTTCAGTTTAAAAAAGAACAGGGGGCAAGATTTCTTATTTTATTATGAGTAAATTTTCTAAATTTAAAAATTTGACTCCATTGGACCAGATTAATTTCCAATGTAAATGCAGTAAAATCTTGTAATTGATCACCATATAGTTGTTATAGTCAATTATAATTGGCAGGTTTAGGCAGTATGGGTTATGGGAGAGATATGCAGAATTATACCCTGACAAAGACTTGATCTACACAGTAGGTGTTAGTGACTACACCAAAGATTGGTTCTTTGCTCAAGTTACCAGGTAGAGATATAGTAGATTTGTAACTGGTTTTCCTTTACGAACTTGTTATATGCATTGTGCCTCAAGGTGAAACAAAACATACGTTGATTTTTTCCTCCCCATTTTCAGGAAGAAAGATGATAATACATATCAAGGAACCACATGGCAAATCAAGTTTCAGCTTGGTAAAGTGAACAAAAGCAGTAGCTATAAACTCCGAGTGGCTTTAGCATCGGCAACATTTTCTGAACTTCAGGTGCATTTCATATTTAAATATCATGTTTTGGATTTAATGGTAATACTAATTTAAGTTTTAATATTATCCTATGCTTCATAAATATACTATTATTTACAACTTTAGGTTCGAGTTAATGATCCAAAGGCGAATCGTCCTTTATTTTCAAGTGGGTTGATAGGAAGGGATAACTCAATTGCTAGGCACGGAATTCATGGGCTTTATTGGCTTTTCAATGTGGACATACCAGGTACTCGACTTGTTGAAGGAGATAATACCATCTTTTTGACACAGGCAAGAGGTAATGGCCCATTTCTGGCCATTATGTATGATTATATTCGTTTGGAAGGTCCAGCCACCGTTTAGTTTCAATAAGAAAATTTGAGAAACATTATGTTTCGCTAAAATATTCAATTAAAACCAACGAAGAATATAGGGAAATAAAGAGTGTTGCTTCTTAAAGAATGTAATTTTCAGTTTCTTTTTACTTTTTTGGATCTTAAGATTTAAGACTTTGACCGTTCTACTAGAAGATCTGTAAAAGCCCTTGTATTGATTTTGGATTATGATCTTGTACCCAAAAAAATTATACTATAATCGTCACAAGTCACAACATGTGTACCATGTCATTTATCATCTATACATTTGATGGCGGGTTCTAACACTATTCAGCTAAAGAAAATGAAAAAGGTGCTAAGCATCAAACATGCCTCACAGGCATGGGGTGACTTACACACAAAGGCTCCATAGACGTAGAAGCTGGGAAAGATGATAAATTGATACTACGTACACAAAGGTTCTGAACCACATGGTAAGTGAAGTTTAAGCTTACCACTTTAATTACCGGTGGATAAAGCGGTACCTAGAAACCGCTAGGGAGCTCAGCAACATTTTTGGGGTTGCAGGTATAAGTGGGTCGAGTGGGATTAAAGTCTGAGCAAAAAAATTAATATATTATTATTTTAATAAAAAATTATGAAAATATAGTCACTTTGAACCAATTTATGGATCTATTGCTTTCGCCCAATTTAGGGAAAAGTAGTCTTACTCAGTTTGGGAGAAATACCTAGGAGAGTCTAGCCCAATTTAGGCTAACTAGTCTCGCCCCATTTGGACTAGACTTAGCACACTAATCTGCCTTTTTCATGTAAGACCAAGTGCTCTAACATGCCTAATTCGGGCGCGATTGAAAGCTCTAACATGCCCAGTTATCCTTATTTAATTGTAATAATTGAAAGCCTCGCAATATTGTCTGAAAGTTTAGAAAATGCGATGAAATACATGTTTTCCAGGAACCACTTGATGATGGACAACATAATCATTTGTTTAAAGATGATAAACAGAACCTAGTGAAAAATGAAGCATACATTCACACCACCTGGGCAAAAATGTATAAGATTCCTCCCAATCACCATAAATCATTGCAATTGCTTTCTGTTACGCATATCATGCCTTTCTATATGAAACTTTATAAGTAAAGTTTTTCTTCTTAGAATTTTTTGATTTTAATCTTTGATTGTTTTAAATCTTTATTCTACCATTTTCGTCTTTGATTGTCCAATTAAAGTGTAAAATAGTGAATTAGTGATTGAAACTCTAATCCTCATGGGAACGTTCTCGTACTCACGTATACTTTATTATTTTTACGACCGATGCCTTGTCGAAGTCGTAACAAAGGGTAACCAAGAAACACTGCTGGAAGAGCCCGAGGAGAGAATTTATGACGACCACGATGTAGAGTGAATGGGTAAGAAAGACAACCAAAGACTCTGAGGAATGAGTAGGATGAGACTTTGTGGGACAACAACTCAAAAGGTGTTTTGTGGGAGAGGAGGGGAGATAGAGTATGATTGATGAGATAAATGGCAGTCTGAACACAGTCATGCTAATAGGCCAAAGGGACGTGCGATTGAAAGTGCAAAGCCCTTGCGACGTTTAAAATATGTTGGTGTTTTCTTTCCACAATAGAGTTATGTTGCGGTCGTTCAACGCAAGAATGAAATAGTTGAATGCCTTTTGATTGGAAAAAATCAGATAAACAAAATTCAGGTGCATTATCACAAAGAAGAGCCTTAATACACTTAGAGTATTGGGTGAAATCCAGAACATAAAAATAGGGGGAATAGTAGAAAAATAATTTTTATTTTTGAGAAAATAAACCCAAGTAAAACGAATAACAACATCAACTATGGTAAGAAAATAGCGAAAAACATCCACAGAAACAGGGGTTAAAGGGCCCCAAATGTCACAATGCAATAAATCAAAAGCATATGAAGAAAGTTTTGGATTCAAAATAAAAGGTAAGCGTTTGTATTTAGCCAATGGAATATATTACAATGAAAATATGAACAAGTATTGTCTGTAAAATGTAACGTATCCCGTAAACGATGTCAAACTGGTGAAGAAAGATGGCCTAACATGGAGTGCCATAAACTAAAAGAGTGCAGGGGAACATGAATTTTGGGAAAAGAGGAAGCAATGTCCAAAACATAAAGGTCGCCAAGTCTGCTAGCAATCCTAATCGTCCTATGCTAGATATGGTCCTAAAGAGAATAATGAAAGGAGTAAAAATGAGCAATGATAGAAGAATCATGAGTGAGAGCACTACTGGAGAGAAAGTAAAAGGAGAAAGATGTAACAAGTAAAACATTGTGTAAGATGGGTGAAGGTAAGAGGGAGACAAAACCCTTAGACGTGACAGAAACAATAGACCCAGGGGGAAGAGATACGTTGGAATGAAAATTAGAAAGGGAAAAAGTAAAAGCGAGGGGAGGCAACGTGATGTGTTTCCCCAGTGTTGATTACCCAGGAAGTAGAGGGTAAAGAAGAAGAACATATACCACTGAAGCTTGTGATGATGGGGGAAGGTGAATCTGTAGGTGGATACGAGGAAGAAGACGACGGTGACGAGGAGCTAGGGTTTGAGTGGAGAAGGTGAAGTAATTGGGTATGCTGGGATTGGGTCAAGTGAGGGGAAAGAGAGTTAGAATCATTGGGCCTAGGGATGGGATGAGTAAGGGTCATGTGGGTTTAGGTCGAAGAAGAGGAAGAGGCCTATTTAGGAGATTTGGGCTTGTAGCTAAGAGGGAAACCATAAAGCTTGAAGCATTTGTCCCTATTGTGGCTGGGAATGTTGCAGTGAGTGCAAAATGGACGGTTGTGGTGAGGGGTGGAGACGACAACAGCCACCGGAGGAAACGCAACAGGAGCAGAACTAAGAAAATTGGGAGCTGCAACAGAGTTGCGTAAAGGTGTCTCAGGGTCAACAAGCACCATAGTAGAAATTTGCCTCTAACGTTCCTCTTGTAGAACCAGATATAAAACCCTTGACAAATTGGGTAATGGCTCCATGAGTAATATCTAAGCGCGGATGGAAGAGTATGATTCATTAAGCCCCATGAGAAACTAAAGAGCTTGATCTCGTTGTTGAGAGATAGAGAGTGAGCGAAGACCAACATAGGTGCATTGATAAGAAGGGGAGTAAGCTTGAAGCTCATCCAAGAGAATTTTGAGCTTCGTATAGTAACTGTTAGCATCGAGAGCACCCTGATGGAGAGACGAGATTTGTTGTTTCAGCTAGAAAGTTTATGACCCATTTGCTTGACGAAAACGAGCACGAAGGTCGGCCCTAAGATCGTAAGAGATGGAGAAATACATATGGTTGTCCACAATGTCCTTTGAAATAGAGTTGAGAAGCCAAGAGGTGACCTTGGAATTGCAGCAATTCCAAGAAGAGAAGAGAAGATCATCAGATGTTGGGCGAAGAAGGGAGCCATCGACGAAGCAAACCTTATTTTTAGCAGCGAGGGCAATAAGCATGGCCCCTGCGCAAAGAATTGTAGTTGGTACCATGAAGAGTGTGAGGAACAAGAACGATGCCAGGATGGTCACCGTTGGGAAGATGGTAGGGACTGTAAGTGTCCTCAATGAAAGTAGGGGTGGGAGGAACCGAAGCAAAGGTAGAGGCAGCAGAGGTTTGAGAACGGGCTAGATTACCTCGCGCCATGGAAGGGGCAGAGGTTAAAGAATAACATATGATACCATATTAGATATCACAACCCAGAGAAAGCTAGGAAGAACAAGCATTTTTTGTAATACAAAAATAAGAGTCTTACAATGTGCAATAGCCATATATCAGAATCCTATAACAGAATTCGTACACTGGATCCGTAAATGGTACAGTTACAACCACTGATGAGATGACAAAATGAATAAAAGAAGAAAGAAATAACAAATTGTACGTGTATAAAAATATACTCTAAAAATTCAATTATAAATTTTAAAAAATAAACTAATCAAACTATTATCTGAATTAATCATAACATGGAGGTCTTCCCCATTCATCTTTTTAATAGTTGGAAATAATACCATCATCAGGGGCCAATTTCGTGAGATTCTCCCCACGTCTTTCTCCAACAAGTTGGCTGAAATACCTAAAAGTTATGTTGAAAAATGAAAGACGGTGTATTTTTACTTTGGAAGTTGTACTCTATCTCAGCCATAACAACATGTGAATAAGCCAATAAGGGTCTGCACTAGAAGTTATAATCATGATCAAGTTGAGAATTCATTTATCTGTGATTATTAGTAACTTGGACTTAAATATGATTAGTTTACCTATATTGTTTGGTAGTTGAGAAGCTAATCATACCCTCCAACTATACGCAATCGTTGTAATAAGTGCAAGGCTAATAATAAGTGCACGACCGTTGTTTTAGCACAGCAGAAGAAAAAAGAGAACTATAATTTATTGCTTTGCTGAATAAAAGAGCACTACCTTTTCATTATAAATGAATGTGACTGCAATGAGCAAGTGCAGCATGAACATTATTATTGGAAGTTCAATTTAAAATCTCACAACTCCCCATCAACTTTAATTTCAGAAATGGAACTTAGTCCCTAACGTAATTGTGCATTGCGGTGCGGTTTGGTTTCTATCTTGCAATGATTTCTACTATCAATGAATTCACAATTACAGGAGAGACTCACGGGGCCGGTGATCCATGGCCGTGTAGTACAAAATAAATCATATTAAACGTTTCTTTTAAATTTCTGTTGGTAAAGAGAGAGAGAATATGATTCCTTCGAAAAGGGTAATCGTCTACTTTGTGATATGAGTTTTGAATTTGTACAAATTTCTAAAATTTCACGATCCATCTACATATTTTAACAAAGGCTTTTATTAATCTCATGCAATAGAAAAGAAATTATCTCATATTATAGAAATAATCATGTGTGGGACCCACCCACTTATAAAAAATATAAAAAATAAAAATAAATAATATAAAAATCGATATATGTGTAGCAGAGAAAAATATTCTCCTATAACATAAGAGTATATTTTTTCTTTAACAAAAATGAATTAGAGATGTACTGAATTTAGTGCATCAGTAGTATTATAGATTTTTCTCTGAA